TCAGTATATTTTGTTTCCATAGTGAATTTTAGTCCTTAGTCTGATCTCTTACTGTTTTTTCTGAAAGTGAAGACCATACAACTACATCTTGGGCTGTATGATACAGCTTCTTTCTGTGTTTCCATGTCTTATCGACAACTTATCTAAATTGTTGGCTAACCTTTTTCTTTTTTCCAGGGTAATTGATGTTTTGATTATTGTTCAAACTAAGCCTGGACTGTTTTTTTCCTGCATCAGAAACATTACAAGTACCCCCCCCCCCCAATCACTTTTGTATCTATATGACTTTTCATAAGTTAGTCTGGCAAGTATATGGAGTATGTCTTTCATTCACCAATTAAAGAACTTGTATTGTTTCTTGCCCAAACATTAAAGTTTCAGATAAATTACAAATATACTACTAGAGAAACAATTTTGGTAAGACTTTCTACATGGTTTTTATAGGATTTCAGAAACAGGTTACATGTTTTGAGATTGAAAAACTACTGGCTAGCATTTTTTTTTTTTTTTTTATCCTTACCCTAGGACATTTTTGCATTTTTCTTCAGATAGAGTGGGAGGGAGAGAGGGAGAAACATGGACATGAGAGAGACACATCAACTGGTTGCCACCCACACAACCTCAGCTGGGCCGGGGACAAACTGCAACTGAGGTATGTGCCCTTAGCGGGAACTGAACCTGGGACTCTCCGGTCTGTGGGCCAATGCTCTAACCATGGAGCCAAACTGGCCAGGGCTACTTGGCTTGCATTTTAATGTATTTCTTCCTTAGTGGTATTTCTTAATTTGACTAATGTACTCATTAGGAAATTACAGTGGAGTGTTACCTTTAGGTAGAAAAATGACAAAATATTTCAACCTGTTCATAAAGCTAACACTGGAGTTGTCTGACAAAATAGGTTTGCTTAAAGTTAACACAAATATATTCCTAAAGTACCTATGATGTATATGTATATATATATATAAGCACACACAGAAGTATTGTGGACCCAGTCAGAATAGGTTTTGTCCATTTATAAATTACCTTGCATATTAAAATCAAATGTCCTGCTCCATACATGCTCAGAAGGTTAAAATTAAGGAACTATATCTAACAACTACAGTCTTAGAATCCCAGTTCTTGTCCATAACCCACCTTTCCCTGAGCAGAATCCTGGGGTGTCTTGGATTCCTCCCCTAGTGTGGCTAGTACAAGTCCTTTAAAGCCAGGGAAACTGAAGATTCAGTGTTGCTCCAAAGCTGGAGGTTATGCAGCTGGAGGCTATCCATCTGCTGATGGGGTTTTGTGTTTGTGCACCTGACTTAGGGATTGATGACTTTTGGCGGCAGTATGGCTGAAACTGATCTGCCTGCTATTCATACTTAGTGAACAATTTGTCTTACCTCTTCCCTATCCACTTTACCCCCCCCCCCCAACCTCTTATTCCTATGTAGATATAACTTGAGTGGAGGAGAGCACTTTGAGACACCCCCCCCCCCCCAGAGGCTTCTTTCTTATAAGACCTATTTGCACTGATTTGTTTTAACAAATCTTTTGGTTACACTGTACCTGACTTCAAAAAAAACAAAACAAAACAAACTCCATTCTAAGTAGCTTTAGCCACTGCTTTCCCCTTGAGTAGTTAGAACACTTGGCATGCCAGAATTTTTAAAGAATTTTAAGTATTCTGTAAAATCAGTGCATAGTTGTATGATTACCTGACACACCAAGCAACCTTGGCCTTCGTATATCTAAAATGTATGACATCTGCCCTGGCTGGTTTGGCTCAGTGGTAGAACATTGTCCGGCAGACCAATGAGTCCTCGGTTTGATTCCAGTCAAGGGCATGTACCTCGGTTGCAGTTTGTTCCCGGCCCTGGTTGGGGTCATGCGGGAGGCAACCAGTGGATGTGTCCCTCTCACGTTGATTAATTTTTTTTTTTATCCTCACCGGAGCACATTTTTCCATTTTTTGTTCAGATAGAGCAGGAGGGGGAGAGAGAGAGAGAAACATCGACATGAAAGGGACACATCGAGTGCTGCCCTCCCACACGACCCAACCAGAGCTGGGGACCAACTGCAACCGTGGTACATGCCCCTAGCGGGAACCGAACTCAGGTCTCTCTGGACGGCAGGCCGACGCTCCAACCGCTGAGCCAAACCGGCCAGGGCTCACGTCGATATTTCTGTCTCTCTCTCCCTTTCTTTCCCTCCCACTCTATCTGAAGATAAATGAAAAAAATATCCTCAGGTGAGGATAAAATAAATAAATAACATTAAAAAAAATAAATAAATGAAATAAAATGTATGACACCTGCCTATAAAACTTTAAAATGAGCCATTGACCCCAGTAGTTTCACTAAGAATATATAGTTTAGGTGCTTTAACCTGGATATACGAAGGATCTGGTGATCTTTAAGAGTTTTATTAGATTCTTAACCTTAGCAACTGTCCCATGTAAATTTCTGATGTTACAGGGTAATGAACTTCTCTGTTCTTCTGCTATCAAACTTGGTTGTTCTTTGTGAGTCAAAGCATTTAAAGCAACTGAATGAGCAATTTTTTGTTTTGTTAATCTCACCTGAGGATATTTTTCCATTGATTTTGAGAGAGAGAGTGAGAGAGAGAGACATTGATATGCATGACACATTGATTAGATGCCTCCCACCACCCTGACCGTGGCCAGGGGATAGAACCTGCACCCAGGTACATGCCCTTGACCAAGAATCAAACCCTCGACTGTTTGGGCCACAGGCTAACGCTGTAACTGCTGAGCAAAACCGGCCAGGGCGCAACTTTTAACTATAACTTTTTCTTTTAATAGTAAAGCATCCAACTTAGTCTTTATTAAGTGGCAAATTATATTGTTGACACCTTACACCTAAGCTTAACTCATTGGCCACATTACTGGATCAGAGGGACTTGGGACCAGTTAGAAGACAAGACATAAAATGATGGTTTGCTTTCAGACACTTGAGTTGGGATTGTGAGGAGAAATATGAAAGGAAGTATTGAATACAGAACCAGTGAGATTTGAGGATAGTTGGATATCAGAAAACCTGTTTCTCTTTATCTCAGTTGCACCTGATGATTGTTAGCCTTGAATACCTCATACCTAGATAATTACAGGAGCTTCTTCACTTGGCCTTTAAAAAAATTGTATCTATATAAGGTGTACAACATGATGATATGCATAGTGATTACTATGTAGCACATCATCTCACATAACTAATATTTTTTTGCGATGAGATTACCTGAAATCTTTTAGCAATTTCCAGTATTGTACACAATTATATAGTTATAGTCATTATGCTATACATTATTAGGACTTTAGACTTATTAATCTTATATAAGTGCAATTTTGCACCCTTTGGCCAGTACCTCCCCATTTCCCCCACCTCCTCACCCGAGGTAACCACCCATCTACTCTCTGTCTATGTATTAAACTTTTTAAGATTTCACATAAAAGTGAGATCTGTAGGTTTTTTTTCTTTCTGTTTCTGGCTTATTTCACTTTGTGTGTCTTTGTTGTTGCAAAGGGCAGGCTCTTCCATGTTAGATTTCAGATTCCTCCTCTTCTTGATCATGGTTTCTTCACAGCCTCAGTACATTCTACATTTCTATCTCGCTAATTTTTTAAAGCATTACGTTGGTTATGCAGATTGGTGTTCATGAGGAATTTGCTCATTAAAAAAATATATAAATCAATATTTATTGCTAAGAAACTTTCTTGTGGGAGAGTGGAATAAATAATTTTTTTAAATACATTTTATTTTATTTTATTTATTTTTTTTATCCTCAACGGAGGACATTTTTTTGCATTTATCTTCAGATAGAGAGGGAGGAAGAGAGAGAGAAACATTGATGCGAGAGACACATCGAATGGTTGCCACCCACATGACCCCGACCGGAGCCAGGCACAAACTGCAACCGAGGTAGGTGCCCTTAGCGGGAACCGAACCTAGGACTCTGGTCCATGGGCCGATGCTCTAACCGCCGAGCCAAACCAGCCAGGGCTTAAAATATATTTTAATTGATTTTTAGAGAGAGAGAGAGAAATCTCATGTGAGAGCAGAACATTGATCAGCTGCCTCCTGCACGCCCCCTTGGGGGATCAAGCCCTCAACCCAGGCATGTACTCTGACCTGGAATGAACCGACAACCTTTTGGTGCATGGGACAAAACCCACTCAATGGAGCCACCCCGGCCAGGGCAAGACATATAATTTTAAATGTTATAATTTTTATATAGAATGCTTTAAAAATAATTTCTAGTTTTTTCTATTGTTTTATGATGTTTTTGGCTTAAGAGAATAATTGTGCTGCCCCATCTTACGGATTCATAAATGAGACAGATAGTGTGTATCTAATATATTTTAGTTGTGCTCACATCCATTTAATTTTGAAGCTGAGAATTTTTTGTTCTCAGCCCTCAGCTGTTAAGAAGCACACTTATTTAATCTTGCACTAAATTAACCAGCACATAAAAAGAACCTCTATCCACAAGCTATACAAGATGTGTAATGCAGAAAAAGAATTTTTTTTCTTTTATCCTCACCCAAGGACATTTTTTTCCATTTTTTGTTCAGATTGAGTGGGAAGGAGAGAGAGAGAGAGAGAGAGAGAGAGAGAGACATCGATGTGAAAGAGACACATCGAGTGGCTGCCACCCGCATGACCCAACCAGGCTCAGGGACAAACCACAACCAAGGTACGTGCCCTCAGTGGGAACCAAACCTGGGTCTCTCTGTACCGCAGGCCAATGCTGTATAACTGCTGAGCCAAACTGGCCAGGGCAGAAAAACAATTTTTTCCCCACCCCTTTCTGGTTAAATTTTATGTAATTAGTATAGAACAGTGTTTTAAATTTCAAAGCAGCTCATTAGTGGATTATGAAATGAAATTGATTGCTTTATGACCAACATGTTTGTATGGAAAATAATATAATAATAAAAAATAATACAAGAATAAATTGTTTCACATACTCAACAACTATAAATCTACTTTTGCCAGCCTGTGTATTCTGTGAAATGTTTGTACATGTGGGTATAATGCATTGTGATATAAAATATTTCTCATGGGTTGAAGTCAAAGATTGAAAGCCACTGATAAAAGGGAGAGAAAGAGCTGGACTAATAGTCAGGAGATATGGTTTGTTCTTTAAGTGACTGGCTGTCAACCTGGAACAAGTAATTTTCCTTTTCAAGATTTCTTTCCTCACCTACAAAATAAGGAAGTTGGACCAGATACATTTTCTCCTCTCTCTTAAATCCTAGGATAGCAGGTGATACAGTGCTTATTCATTCATTCAACATATGAGTGTTTGCTATGTCACAGGCATTTTCAGAGGTTCTGTTTCACAGTAGTGGATAGAAATCGCTGCCTTGCTGATGCTTACATTATAGCATAAGTAGCAGTATGTGCTGTAGAGAAGAACAGTGTAAGAAGGTAGGTAAAAAGTTGGTGTGATTTTTATTTTTGGTGATCGGAGAGGACATCACTGAGAAGTGACAACTGAGCAAAGATGAGGAGGTGTGGTAGTGTCCCACTCCCATATTCTAGGCAGGAATATTACAGATAGAGGGAACAGCAAAAACAGCGGTCCTGAGGCAAGACCATGCTTGGTGTATTAAACTCTAATTCAGTAGTTAAGTTTGGGGGGACTCAAAGTTATATGTGGATTTTGAAGTACATGGCAGGTGGTGGGGGGTTAGCACCTCTAACCCCGACATTGTTCAGGGTTCAGCTGTAATTAAGTTATCATAGAGGCCAGTGTGGTTAGAGCAGGGAGAAGGTGGGCAGTAGGAGATGAGGCCAGAGGGATCAGTGAAGAACAGATGGTGTAAGATCTGGTAGGCCATTGTGAGGATTTTGACTTTTATCCCGAATAGGAAAGTATTGAGCAGAAGAGTGACTGATCTGACTTAACTTTTTAATACAGTCACTGACTACTGTACTGAAGATACATTAGAGGGGCTGGGGCAAGGGTAGAAGCAGGAAGACACTAATTAGGAGGTTACTGCAATAACCTCAATAAGATATCGTGGCTTACACACAATAGAATACACAGAATCAAATTATAGCCTACCATCTGAAAATAATAATGTTATTACCAGTGTTACTGCAGTAAATTTAATAATAAAAACAGATACAGTGGCTTAGATCAGGGTGAAAATGGTTAGAAGGTCAAGATTCTAGATTTATTTTGAGGTTCTGAGTCAAAGACACTTGCATGCTATACACATCATTTTTTCATGGGGTCCAATGAGTCCCAGAAACCAACCACATTCTCTAATTAAAAACCCCTGTTGTTTTAAAAAATACTTACTGCTAAAATTTTGATAAATTGATTAAAAAGTAAAAATGTATTCAAAGGTTTAAAAAAAAACGCTGCTGAAAAATAACCAGCGTTTCCCCAGCTCTTCCTCACATCGTCTTCCTAGTAGAAACTTTCTGTAAATCTTAGCTGTTTCCTTTGGTATTTTCTTCATAGTTTATTTTCTGGTAGATGAGGATTTAGTTATAGTATACCACTCCCAGTTTCCCCCTTCATTTTCTCTCAATGTGTAGTTATTTACATCACAAATATTTGTTAAATCACTTGTCAGTGCTTACCTTATTATGACAAGATAAATATTGTTAATAGCTTAGCTAAAGTATATATTGTCAACTTCACTTTGAATAACTTCACCCCCCTCCACTGTCCCACATATTAAAATGTTTGCTTAGTTATGTGAGTACTTATACTTGAATATTTATTTTCATGTGGTCAGATATATTCACCTATAACTACTGTTTTTTTCCTGGAGACCCTTTTCCCTCTTCACTGTCATTCTGATCCTATCTGGCCTGGTTGTTTCCTAAAGTCCTGATATTTCCCTGTCATCTTAGGACTTCGTTCTCCCTCTCCTGGGTTATTCTGTTCCTGCTTATATTTTTTTTCTTCTTCCTCCCTGTTTTATTGAAATATCATTGCCATATAACATTGTATTAAGCTTAGGTGTTCCCTTTTTTTTAGTTTACTCCCTTAACTTGTGGAACACATCCTTTAGTAGCTGTGTAAGAAAGGGTACAAAATAGAAAATTTCTTGAGTGTTTCTTTGTCTGAAGACTCTTGTGTGAAGTAGTTATCTTTCTGGCTACCAAAGGTGTTTTTGTATGCAGTCAAATAAATGAAACATTTAAAAAATCATTTAGTCTTCTAAAATAAAATGTTACACTTTAGCACCTTGGCAAAGACCCAGTTGCCTACATGTATACTAACTTGTGAATTAAGTAGATAAGTTACTTTTTATTTTTTTAGATGTGGTGGGACCGTGGGAGCTATTCTGACATGTCCACTGGAAGTTGTGAAAACACGCCTACAGTCATCTTCTCTGACGCTTTATATCTCTGAAGTTCAGCTGAACACCATGGCCGGAGCCAGTGTCAACCGAGTAGTGTCCCCTGGACCTCTCCATTGCCTAAAGTGAGAGCTCAGTATTCTTTCTTTTAGTCAATTTACCTTGATGTCCGTATATTTGTTTGTTTATATTGTCATATTTTAAAAGTTTTACAAACTTAATGACACAGTTTCTCTGAATTATGTTCATTAAAAAAATTATCCCTAATGGAGAGAACAGTTAGTTGGATAATAGAAAATATATTATTTCTAACTCGTGTATATTTGGAATATTTTTTGCATTTATCCAGTGGATTCTTTTCTAAAATCATTATAGGTATTTTATTTTGAGTTAAGTAAGTACATCCAATTAATGGCAATATGTGACTTTTATATGGCCTCAACAATTGAGATTTAAAGCAGACTTCCACTGATTTTAAAATGTGATTCAGTGCTTGACATTTCTTGATGCTTTAAAAAATATTTGTTTCCCAGCTGGTGTGACTCAGTGGATTGAGTGTCATTGCATGGACTGAGAGGTCCCAGTTGGATTCCTGGTCAGGGCACATGCCCGGGTTGCGGGCTTGATCCCCAGTAGGGAGTATGCATTAGGCAGCCGGTTGATGATTCTCTCCCACATCGATGTTTCTCTCTCTCTCCTGCTTCTTCTCTTAAAAAAAAAAAAAAAAAATCAATAAAAATATATTTAAAAAAATGTGTTTTTACATTTTACCATACTTTTTGTGTTACAAATTGGGTTTGAAATTTCAAAACTATCAAAAGTAGGTTTTACATGTTTAAACAGGTATGTAACTGAATGCCTTGTGTGTCTGCCTTATCAGCTCACTTGGGACATAATCTGTTTGAACTTAGTTCAGTTGTGTTTATTTTGTAGTAGTAAATAAACTCATAATGTGTGTTTACCTTCTCTACCAAAAGATTTTATCAGTCTTTTCTTTTTTTTTAAACTTACCTAAGTACATGATTAGGTAGAATAAAATTTTTAACGATTTGAATTAAAATGATATAGTTATATATCTGATTAATAATAGACTTTTTTTTTTTTTTTTTTTTTTTTTAGAGAGAGACGAAGGGAGAGAAATAGAAACATCAATGTGAGAGAGAACCATTGATGGGCTGCCTCCTGCACACCCCCTACTGGGGATTGAGCCCACAACCCAGGCATGTTCTCTGACCCTGATTGGGAATTGAACCAGGATCTTTCAGTCCATGAGACAACGTTCAATCCACTGAGCCACAGAGACCAGGCAATAATAGAGTATTTTGATATGATTTTGTCATTTATTACCACTGACTGATTACCTCTCCTTAAAATTCTCCCTTTGACCTTTGTGACAATCTTATATATATATATATTTTTTTTGGTACGTACCCCTAGCAGGAACTGAACCTGGGACTCTTTGGTCCGCAGGCCAATGCTCCAACCACTGAACCAAACTGGCCAGGGCACAATCTTATATTTTTAATTCTAGTTTTCTTTTTAAGATTTTTAAAATTGATTTTTAGGGAGAGGGAGAGAGAAACATTGATGTGAGAGCACTACATCGATTGGCTGCCTTCTGTACACTCCCTACCAGGGATTGAGCCCGAAACCCAGGCATGTGCCCTGACCAGGAATCAAAGCAGCAATTTTGGTGCACGGGATGACGCTCAACCAACTGAGCCACACCAGTTAGGGCTCTTCTGTTTTTCAATGTTTCTGTTTTCTCTGACCTTCTTCACAGGAACTATAGGACCCTCTGGCCTCTGTTTTATTTTCTCATTTTTTCAGGCCCACTTATATAATAGTCAGTTTAACATGTTTTACCTCTCATCAGTATACAGGTGATTTCCCAGTCTTCATTCTCTAGCATCTCTTTACTCTTATTTCCATTGTTTTCCTACTCAGGGACTCTGTTTTATGGTGACTGCTGCTCCTTTTTGCCCTCCAACATGTTTATTGAGATAAAATTTATATACCATAAAATTCACCCATTTAAAGTGTACAATTTACTTGTTTTTGGTTTATTCACAGAGTTGTAACCATCACTACATTCTAAATTTAGAACATTTCCATTACCACCACAGAAGGAAACCCTTACCTGTTAGTAGTCACTCTTCATTTTCTCCCTTCCCTCTTGGCCTCCTCCTAGTCTTAATTACCACTGATCTACTTTTTGTCACTATAGCTATGCTTATAAAAATAAAATTATATAATATGCAGGTTTTTTCTGACTGGTTTCTTTCACTTCACATGATGTTCTCGAGGCTCATCCGCGTTGTAACAGTTATCTTTTTATTGCCAAATATGTCATTGTTTACTGATTGGTTGGTGGACATTTGAGTTGTTTCCAGTTTGGGGATATTAATGAATAATGCCATTATAAGGACATAGGTCTTCATTTCTCTTGGGGATATATTAGGAATGGAATTGCTGGGTCATATGGTAATTTTATGTTATGTTTAGCATTTTGAGAAACTGCTGAACTGTTGCCCAAAATGGCTACATCATTTTACATCCGCAAGGCCAAAAAAAGATTTCCAATTTCTGCACATCTTCGCCAACCCTTGTTTTATGTCTGTCTGTTTTACTATAGCATTCTAGTGGGTATGAAGTGTTTCAAGGCTTCTTAACCAAGAACTTTAGGAATCCCCCCTAGGCTCTTAGTTTCTTAGGTGGCTCATGGATAATTCAAGAAGTTTATGAAATTGTATGCAAAATTATATTTGCAAATATATATATTTTAAAAGGATACTTACCTTAATTTCTGAAGGAGACTTGTGATACAGAAAGAACTAACAAACTGTGAATCTTCAAAATGTGCTATATAATTATCATTCTTAACTCTGCTCTGTCTAATCTAGTTTTATCAAAACTGGTTCTGGATGACCTCTCCCTGTCATTGAGCCTTTCCCGTCCCCCTCTTCTTCCCCCAAGAGACATTACCTTTGCCTTTCCCTCTCCTAAGCTCCAAGGGCCCTCCTTTTACTTCTGTCATTTGTTCCCTGACCCTACATAGCCCAGCTGCCTCCCGTCCACCTCTGTAACTTTCTACATAAACTCTATCTTATAATTTAAAAAAGTAACAACGAAAAGCTTGTTTTATATCAGGACCTGTGTTAGTCCTGGATGCATGGTAAAAATGCAGATTGCTAAACATTCTCTTACACCTACTATCAAATCAGAATATTTTGAGGGTGGGGTCAGAGAAATCTGCATTTTAAACAAGTGCTTACTGGGAGGTACTCTTTTAAGCTTTTTATATATTAATTTATTCATTACTCACAGTAACCAAAAAAGAGTACTGTTTTTCCCTATTTACTGCTGATAAACATAAGGATAAAAGAAAAGTTATTGCTTTGCTTTCACAGCTAGTCAGCTACCAAAATTGGCCTTCATACTGAGAATGTTGGCCCCACAGCTCATATCCTTAGTTAACCATTATGCTCAATTGCCCTTCAAGGCATCATTCTTAAGCATATAGATGTTTGAGAACCACTGGCTCAGTCTGTTAACTCTAAATTAAAATACCTTCTCTTCCTTAATCTCTTTTCTCCTGCCTTCAAAATTTAATTTAATGACTCACACTCAGAAAGCCTTCCTTGACGTAGACATGCATCTGTTTCTATACCTACTGGGCATACATATCTAGCTTTGTATAGTATTTGCTTATTAATATGGTATATTAAATTATTTGAGTATAATTCTTGTTTTCAAAATTGGATAGCAGATTTCTCAGTAGCAGGGGCCTCACCCTCTCTTTTCTATCTTTTTATTCTGCTTAGTCTTTATATTCAATATAGTAAATATTAAGTATTCTGTGTAGTAAATGTTAATTAAGTAGGGAGAGAAATGGTAGCCAGCCAAACATAGTACTCTCAAGGATGTTAGATTTTGCCATAGTATTTCACTGGAATGTTTGGATGAGATAATGCTACAGTACTGAGAGGTTTGTCCAATATCAAGGAAAGGACCTTAAACACTATGAGGAAACTATATTTCTAATTGGGAATTGAATTTGTTGGTAAAGAGAGTAAAATGGAGGAGATTGAAAATAGTAGCATGAAAATAAATGTAGAAATTTATATTGTTACAGCTTTAAAACTTTTAGGAAATAATCTAAATGGAGTTCTTTTTATCATCACTAGTAATTCTATTATCAGTCTTCAGTAACGTATACTATGTCAAGGAAAACAGATATTCGTAAGGAAAACTGACCAGAGCAGCAAAATACGTTATAGTACAAACATAAAAGATTTAGACTCTAAGTTTGCTTGACAAATAAAGTACCAGACTTTGAAAGACATTTCATTCTAAATAATATTTTTTTTCTTTCAGGGTGATCTTGGAAAAAGAAGGGCCTCGTTCCTTGTTTAGAGGATTAGGCCCCAATTTAGTGGGGGTGGCTCCATCAAGGTAAATAAAATAACAATAACCAAAATTGTCTCAATCTTGTTTCAAGCTTAATGAGGGGAGATGCTGAAGTCAAGGTGGTAAGGATAAAGCACTGTGGTGTAGCAAACAGTTATCAGTAAGCATCTAAAAGGATAGGTAGGTTGCATCATGGAGCAGTGCAAAGCAGCTCCTAGTGAGATCATTGTGAAGCTGTTTTTGCACCAGGATTAAAAGGCAAAGAACAAACTGAAGGGACTAGCAGAAAGAAAGGGGGAAGACCTGGGTGTCTAGAATTAACCCTATTTTCTGGTTTAGAGGACAAGCTAAACAAATAGAATGTCTTAAATCCCTATTAAAGAAGCCAAAATGACCATAATACATTAATTTGTCATTTTTCTCTGATGTTTTTATCTTAGACTGACTTCTTGCATGGTAGAACACTGCAGATTTCACCTTCAAAGTGAACATGCATACCCAGCCTTCTCTATCCAAACACTGTACCAGATCCATGTCTCATTATTTATTGGGTTTGAACTTTTTATGGGCTATTTTTTCCTCTTTAAAAATTACCCCAAATTTTGTCTTTATTTTAAGACAAAAAAAAAAACGTATAGCGTAAAGTTTGGCATTCCACTTTATTTATTTATTTATTTATTTATTTTAATCCTCACCCGAGGACATTTTTCCATTTTTTGTTCAGGTAGAGTGGGAGGGAGAGAGAGGAACAGAGAGAGAGAGAGAAACATCGATGTGAAAGGAACACATCGAGTGGCTGCCACCCGCACAACCGACCAGGGCCGGGGACAAACTGCAACCGAGGTACATGCCCTTAGCGGGAACTGAACCCAGGTCTCTCAGGACCGCAGGCCGACGCTCTAACTGCTGAGCCAAACCGGCCAGAGCTGGCATTCCACTTTAAACACATCACCTCTTTGTTACCCAGTGCACCTTTCCTTCCCACGCACACTTACACTTCTCTTTGTGTAAAAGCATTATTAATAAACAGTTCAGTGTATTAGTCTTTCATTGACTTTTCTGACCTATTATGTACATAAAATGTAGAGTTATTATCATTTACATATATTGAGTCATATTAAAAATATTTCTTCCAATTTATCTTGAAGCCTTTTCCCATGAAAATATGTAGTTTTAAAAAAACTCTATAGTATGACTAGCCCATGATTAATATGCATTTTTTTTTTTTTTTTATCCTCACCCGAAGACATACTTTCATTTTTTGTTCACATAGAGTGGGAGGGAGGGAGGGAGAGAGAGAGAGAAATAAACATCGACATGAAAGGTACACATCAAGTGGCTGCCACCCACGCGACCCAACCAGGGCCAGGGACAAACTGCAGCCGAGGTACGTGCCCTTAGCGGGAACCGAACCCAGGTCTCTCTGGACCGCAGGCCGTCGCTCTAACCTCTGAGTAAACCGGCCAGGGCTAATATGCATTTTTTAAATTGATAAATCTTTAGATTTATTTCCAGATTTTTGCTGTTAAAAACAGTAGTTTTATGCCCTGACTGGGTGGCTTAGTTGGAGCATCATTTTGCACACCAAAAGGTGGCGGGTTCAATCCCCTATCAGGGCACACACCTAGGCTGCAGTTTTGATCCCCTGTTGGGTGTATGTGGGAGGCAACCAATCGATGTTTCTCTCTCACATTGATCTTTCTCCTCCCCATTCCTGCTTCCTCTCTCCCTTCTCTCTTAAAAACAAAACAATAATTTTGTGAATTTTGCTGGACCTTTATCTTTGAGTACTTAAATTAGCTTATTTCTTTCTTTAGGATAGTTAACCTGAAAGTAGGATTTCTGGATAAAAGGGTACATGCACATTTAAAATTAATGAATATTGCTCATCTGCCTTCTGAAAAGGCATTCTGTATTATTCTCAAACAGTGAATTAGTTGCTCTTTATCCATGTATTACCAATGTTGGCTACTATTTATGTCTTTTAGTACTTGCCAAATAGACTAAGCATGATTTTTCACTGTTTTAATATACATTTGTTTAATTTTTGATACAATCACACCCTCTCTGCAATTATTTTTGTATGTCTTCTGTGAATTACCTATGTATATTCCTTGCTCATTTTCTCATTAGGATGTTTCTTTTCTTACTGATTTCTAGGAATGCATTGTTCATTCCTCTTCACAATTTGCCATCATTAAATACATCCTATATTTTTCTTTTTTATAAAACAGAATGTTTCATTTTAAATTATATTAACCTCCTTTAAAAAAAATCTTCAACTGAGGATGTATTTATTGATTCTAGAGAAGGCAGAAGGGGGAGGGGGAGGGGTGGGGGAGAAACATCAATTGGTTGCCTCCCTAATGCGCTCCAACCAGAGAGCGAACCCTCAACCTAGGTATGTGCTCTGACTGGGAATCAAACCCCCAACCTTTTGGTGTGTTCAGGATGACAGTCTAACTAAGGGGCTTAACCCTCACCCCCTTTTCTTTTTAAATTAAATTAAAAATGTTTATACTCCTTCCCCCCCTCTTTAAGCATGTTTAAAAAGGCACAACAGTGAGACTCCCCAGTTGTGCTTGTCTTCTCTCTCCCTTATTGGACGGGTAATCAGGATTGTTGGGAGATAACCGGATATTTGATACAGCAAGCTCGAATAGCTAAACTGAGATGGTAGTTGGGGTACACCAAGTCATCCTCAAAAAGTTAAATTTGCAAATTTAATGGAATGTTTACAAGTGTTGGAAAATATCACCTGACCTGATGGTGCTGATTTCTTTGGGAATTGTTTGTCTGTTTAAGGAAATTGTGAACTAATCTGTGTATAGTTTAGATTAGAATATACCACAGTATCTCAAAATGGTTTAACGTACAGTTTGATCAAATTGGTCGCTTTTGTCTTTCTCTTTCCACCCCCCCCAAATATTTATAAGTGCTCATACCATGTTTCCTTAATTCAAGTACATTTAATTTAGACTTGGTGTTACATAAGTCTTTCAGTTTTATTCTTGTTTTCGAAATTTTATACAAATACTTTGTTATAGTTAGTTACTCTCAAAAGTATTGGGGCTGGGTGAAGGCGGTGTCTGTTTGAGGAATTTTATTTTTTGAGTTTGTCTTTTTCTTAATGAGTCCATACAAAAGTGCATCAGGGTCTTCATGGGAAAATGTATCTATTAACCTGATATTACATGAACATATTGCTAAAACTATGTTTAAGATTTCTCCACTCTAAAATTTAAAGATTAATTTACATGTCATTTAAATCTTATGAATTAAGCAATTCTTATTGATAAAATTCAAATATTTATTTTAGAGCAATATACTTTGCTGCTTATTCAAACTGCAAGGAAAAGCTGAATGGTATATTTGATCCTGATTCTACCCAGGTACACATGATTTCAGCTGCAATGGCAGGTATGACTATATAATATTAAAAAATTTTTTTTCCTGAAACCTAGAGACTTACTATTGAATTATGATGAATTTAAATTGTAAAGTTAAGACAATGTGCTTCTCATTGATTGGCATCCACAAACATGATTTTTTACATTTATTAGTATACAATAAATTTGATCAGGAGGTATATGTAAGAAAGAGCTGTTGTCAATTGGCATTTTGTAATTAGGAATTTGTGATAGCGTACAGGTAATACAGTATTTACATTGTCTTGTATAGTAGTTTACTGAATATTTAGTGATTACTTTGAACAGATTTAAGAATCCAACCATAATTATACTATCAAGTTATAGAGCTGTAATTTATTCCTCTCTCCTCAATTTCTGTTAGTGCCTTTTCCTTTTCCCTGCATGTTTTGGCTTCTGTCTGAAATGTGCTGGCAGTTCTTGGTAAAGTATTCATTTTGTCCTGTGCTCAAATGCTGACATTTTTGTGAGTGAAGTATTAACTGATAACTCAGAGTTACTGTAATGTATGTATTTTGAAAAATAATGTTTGGCATTTTACATAAATCACACTGGATAGCACTTAAAATTTAGGCATTGGCTGTGTGCATGCTATAGAAATGTTTCCAGAAATTCTTTTGTTATCATTGAGTATATATGATACTGAATTAAAACAACCTGTCCTGGGCTTCTCTCTGCCTTGCCTTACAGATAAACTGGCAGATTGGTTTGACCAGTCTGGTTCTGGAATCATTTTCTACTCTGCATGTCAGACAAAGTCATGACCTTAGGTTCTCTGTAGAAAAAACTCTGCAGTTTTCTGACATTTGTTGCATATTGAACCATACCTCACATTTCCAAATTATGTTACAGCTTTATAAAGCAAATTATATCTACTTTCTTCACTGTTGATCAGTAATTGTCATTTATGTGCTTAACAACGAGTGCCTTAAACTGTTAACCATTTTCTGTTTAGAAATAAATTGGATCAATTTAAACCACATACTTAACAAACTAAGTATAAGTTTGAAATACTAATTTCTGAAGGTCATTTGCTATATAATAAAGCTAGCATTTACCTACAAAATATTTTCAAGACTTTCTATAGTTAGTAATTGTTGACTAACTCATTGAAATTTTAAAGCTGGAGAGTAAAACCTTAAAGATCAAGGTGGTGAAATACTGTTATTTACCAGTGTGGAGAGATCTTGGGCAAGTTAAGTAATTTATGTGAACCTCCATTATCTTAACCTTGGAATGAGTAGGTTGCTCTGCATAGATTTGTATGTTGAGAATTAGTTCTTCAGTACAATAGAGGTCATCTAGTTACAACTAGAATTACTTTTTAATGTACTTTTTAGAGATGTTGAATATGAATAGATAAGATTTTCCCTCTGCACATTCAGTGGGTATAAGGTAAAAGTTAGTAGCTAATTTCAAACATATAGGATCTTTAAATATATATTTCTGTATTACCAATGTTTAAACATTTTTGTTTTTAACCCCAGGAAATTGTAAAGAAATGTTAATCATTCTTTTTTGAAAGAATTAAAACCAAGAAAGTAGATGAGCAATCATTTTAAGTGGAGAAAAGTTGTTATATATTCAGTATTGCAAATTTATAGTTTCAGAATATCTTAAATCCTACTGGAACATTTTTTTTTTCATTAGAAGATCTTATCAGAATTTACCATATTTGTATCGAATTGTTATTTGGCACCTCCCTCCCCAAATATATACAAGTGTTAACTTTGTCTGTTTTTATTCTAAACATTGATACTATTTCCCAACTTAAAATTCCTTGAATTTTGGTTAATTTATTGTCTTATACTTATTCAGAAATTATTGCACTATATACTCACTATGTAATTTGAAAATACTTTGATTTGTTTGCAGTTACATTTTTTCAAAGAATTGTGCTTTCAGAGCTTTCTTGCACAGTTGATGAGCATTAACATTTAGCTTCGTGGTTTTTATACATAACTACACAGTTGCTGAAATAGAATGGTCCCATGCAGACTCATTAAGGTAGCCTTTTTCCCCCTTCATTCTTGAAATAATCTAGACCAGATTGCTCTGGTTTGCTTCAGGATCATTTTTAGGGGCCTTATAAATATGAATTGGGGTGCAAAGTGCTTAGAGGCAGAGTCATGTGAAAATTGTTTCTTAACTGACTATTCAAAAAAAAAAATGCTAACCTTGTCACTTTTGTATAAAAAAACACACATTAAAAGTAGTCCATTAATTATATTGCCTGCTGTATTTTGCCACATCAAACAGCACACACAGTAAGGACTTAGTAATATACCTTGTGCATAATTTTTATTTCAAGTAACCTCTTAATTCATTTGCATTTTATCCATATGAACTAGAATGCTTATGCTAAATCCTTTTAATAAGGACATTTTGAAGTGGATCTTATTTTTTATTTGTTGTAGGATTTCAAGGGAATACAAAATAATTTGTAAATCTCTAAATTTGAGCTCTAAATTTTCATGCATTGAAAAAAATTTTTAATTGTGAAGCTATTTAATCAAATTAAGTAATGTTGACTTTTTGTGCTTTACCTGCCTTTTTCCCCGTACATATGACCTTTGTCAGACTAAATGAAACTTAGCTATAGAGGGTATTTGTTCTGTTGAGAGTATTTGTGTTTTTTTATTTAAATGAATTTTCATATTCCTCTGTATATATACCTACACACAGTTGTGTATACAAAAAATGGAATTAAGTTTTTTCTTTTCTTTATGGTAGCTCCCAATTTTTAAAAGTTTTTATCTGGAATATATATAGTTTTATACAGCATTACAGATTTAAAAGAAATGACTTCTCTTATTGGATTATATATTTAGACAGTTATTGCTCAATTTTTAAAAGACACATAATCGTTTTAACATTTACTAGATACCTAGTAGGTTTTATTCGCTTATAGCATTCACTGTTATTTTTCAAGATATATTTTTCCATTTGACTCAAAGTTTATTATTAAAGGTTAAGTTTTTGAGTAAAATTTTAAATAGAAATTTTGTCTTGCATATATAAAATATTTTATTTGTCCATGGCAGTTCATTCAACCCGATTGATGGTTGGACAGATGTTTTGTGTGTTTGTGTGTAAACATTCTTCCTGTTTTTGTTTTGTAGAACACAAGAAATTAAATACAAAATAACTCAAAATATTCCATAAAAATGGATGTGCAATATTACTGGCCATAGTGCAAAAGGTGAAAGGTACTACTGTAGCAACATGTACTATACTTTATTTTATTTAAAAAATTATAAATCGTTACAAAATGAAGTTACTTGAATATTCTGGGGTTTTTTTCTTTTAAGATTTACTAAGTAGGCTGATTGTTGTGATTCAGCTTCGATCATGGTAGGTGATGAAGATAGGAAATTGGGATATGATAATCCCCTCCAAATATTTTCTTAGTTTCCCCTTTGACAAGGTTAGCATTTTTTTCTTTAAGGCAAAATTGGTCTTCTTTTAGGTAAGTATTTGGACTTTGAAACTGCTGCAGATGGCAGAATTTTCAGTACTCGGTGCATTGAAAAAGATTTAGATATTCCCGTTCTGATATTCCTTTTTTTTTTTTTTTTTAAACTTAAAATTTTCAAAAGTTAGATCTCACCGTAAATATTTCTCAAATCCTTCCAATGGGATTTATTTTGTACACGTGTTTCTGATGAGGTCACTGCTTGTTGTTATGATACAGAAAAGCCTGTGTCTATTTTAGGCATTTACTGTACATTTCTCCCGAGAAAAGAGTGAGATCGTGTCATCTCATGCTCCCCATCCGCAGGTCACTTCCTGTAGAAATATGGACTAACTTAAACCTCGTGAGTACTGATCTGAGCATCTCTTGCAGCTTCTAGTTATAAGAAACACCCCCTGGGAATTTATAATAGTTGTGGAATTGATAGAAGGCGGGAAATGAACTTGTATTTCCGGAATTTGTGTGTGCATTATCTGAATGTTTTATAAAATTTTAAATCTGATCCCTTTATAATATTCCTTCTAGAAGGACAAATGGGGTAACTTTTCAATTATCATGTTATAAAAACCTGGGGGTCCTCAGGTTGGCCTTAACTACCAAAGAATTTGATAACACTTGTTAAGATATACATAGTTGTAACTGGTATTGTAGTATCCCACAACTTCTCGAAAATTGTTCTGTTTGCATACCATAGCATAACATATTTTAAAAGTCTAATACAGTGCTTTCTATTCTCTTGTCCGTTGATACTTGGCTTTTTTCTACTCTCTTACAAAAACATATATCTTAATAACTGCCATTACTTTCCAAATAAATGCAAGGTGAGAATATACAGGATCTTAGCTATTGTTAACTATTTTTTTTAATAGTGTTAATATATTTTCCTTAGAAAGTTAGGTGGGCTTTGTTCTTACTAAAGAATTTAATTGAAATAAAACATACTAAAAATGCAATACTACAGGTATCACTCACTTAATGAAATAGACATTTTCAGCAAGTTTACTATAAGTAGTAGGATTTCTGTTAATCTGGTTTTTAATTGGTTTGTGTCAGCGATTTTCAACCTGTGTGCCACAAGAGGCACGCTGATGTTCCTAAAGGATTTTTAAAACATGTGATACCTAACTACTTAGTCAGGGACACAAGATCTTTTCCCTTAGCTTGTCCAAAAAAAAAAGAAATGACAACAGCCAACACAACAATAGCCATCTGGTGTGAATGAATCAAAATTACACCTTTTGGGGGGGGGGGTCAGATCAGCTAAACATGTTTTTTGGGTGTGCCACAGATTTTTAGTAATTAGTTTATGTGTGCTATGAGAAGAAAAAGGTTGAAAGTCGCTGGTTTATGTTACCAAGTGGAATCTTAGATGAAGCAAAACTTTAAAAATTGTATTTTAAAAGTTTTTAAGAACTTGCTAATAAAATACTAACCACACTACTAACTGTGGCCAGTGTACTGTCACTTTGCTTTAACTGACTGTGGAGCAACATTAATTCTTAACACAAATAGATCCTTCATATACCTCTAAGTCAGTTTTAATATTTAACAGGATACTCAGAATATTACTATGAATTAGCATATTAGCAAAATGTTACAAAATCTAAATGCCAAAATAAAAAATAATTAGAAATTTCTAAATTTCACAGGCACCATTCCCAGTATCATTGTGTATGTATTTCTTAGAAAAAATAGGAAGATATGTTTGATTTTGGCTATTTGTTCACTTCAAATTGCCTTTCCATAGATAATTCTAAATTAGTGGTAACATTTTTGATTCTTCCCATTTATTTCATTTCTTAAACTAATAGATTCTATTTTTCCAGATTTAATTACCCTAATAATATCTACTTAATTTATTGGAGTGTCTTTGGCAAGATAAGACAAATAGCTAAAAATCTGTACCTGTGTCTAAATTCTTTAATCCAATGGTTTGCTGGCAGTTTAGGCCAGTGTCTTTATTTAGACCTAGCTTATTGGGAGCAATGAGCCAAAACAGCTATAGTAAGCACAGATTCCTGGTAATAGCAGTCATAGGGATTAGATGACGATATTCTCTCACCTAAACTTTAATGTGTTCTGTTTCATAGATTAATTTGTGTCTGGAAATGAATTTTAGTTAAGTGAGAAATACCTGTTGTTTGCTTCCTGTCATTGTTTAATATGTACAGAGAATAACTAAAATTATAATTTATGGATATTTTGAAATATCATCTTTTATAATATAAATATTTACTGTAATATTTTTAAGTTTACATATCTGGAGGTTTTCAGCCTCTAATTGAGGTATTTTGTGAGTTGGAAGAATATTAAGCTTTGGGTACTAAGTTTATATTTTTAGAAGAACATAATTATTTTTTAAAATACTTTGGTGCTTTTCAAATAAAGTATAATAACTGAATGAGATTTTCACCTAGAGAGGCTGGGTTTTTTGTTTTTTGTTTGTGTGTGTGCGTGTGTGTGTTTGTTTTAGTTTAATAAATGAATGCCCTGTTTTAGCCTTTCAAATTTTTTTTTTTTTTGGTACGTGCCCCTAGTGGGAACCAAACCCAGGCTCTCTGGTCTGCAGGCCAACGTTCCAACCGCTGAGCCAAACCGGCCAGGGCAGCCTTTCAAAATTTAATAAAACAATTTAAAAATTTTTTTACAGAATAATTAATAAAAACCATTGTGAGTAATGTAGACTATTGTGTTGGTTTGACTGCTTAGCAGCTTTTCACTAATAAACCCCTAATATTGCTGTACATCCATTTAGCTAATACAGATATTTAAGTTTAAAAATAAAGAATTATTAAATTAAAGATATGACCAGAATACTGATGACTGGTTCATATTAGCTTTAAAATAAAATTTGAATTATCTTTAGTTTGACTTTTACTTAAAAAATGAGGTTAAAGAGAAGAAAAATATATATACTATATAAGTTTATTCTTAAACTAGACCTTGCAAGAGAAATCTTTTCCAAACAAAATATTTAAACTGATCTCACAGGTTTATATTTTTCTTCTCTTTCTTGTTGCCAGAATATGTGCATGGAAAGCACCTTAGTGCTGGCAATATCTAGCAGTTCCGATTTTTATTATTTAATGCTGACTGATGCTTATAAAATTATTGGTCCCATTTTAGTTTTCTACATATATATGTAGTATTAAAAGCACTTATGAGAAGAGGGGACTGTATAACCATTACAAGATTATTAAAGGAGTTATATCAAACGTTTATTTCATTTACTTGATAGATTCAGTTTGAGCATCCCTTTGTGAAATATCTGGCTAGTTCTACGGTGTTAAAGCAGTGTATTAAGGAAGTAAAATTTGAATTACCTAATTATCTTGACATTCCAGAAAGGAAAAGAACCTGTGTAACTGAATTCCACTTTGTATACAATTCAGTAAAATTATTTTGCATTTATCCCTAATATGCACCACAGCATTTTTGTTTCTGAAAGTACGTTATTCATTAAATGCGCTGGTTATAGTCCACGTTTCTAAAATGAATGTGCTTGACCTACTAGTATTTGATAGAAAGTACTACTTCATTTTTAAGTAAACTAGAGGTACCTCTGCCCTGAGTTTCTCTCTTCAGTGTCTAAAAGAGAGAGGGACGTTCCCATTTGTTACTCTTTGAACTTTTGAGTTATTGTATGTGTTTAAGTGGATGAAAAATAGATTTGTCCTATTAATCCTAACAGAAATCTTACCTCTTTGATACCATTATTTTAACAGTATTAAGTGTATATTTATATAAAGTATTCATGAGGCCAAACAACAATCCTTCCTGTTATACAGTCAGCCTAAGATCAAATATTAGTAAATGTTGACATAGAGAATCCATTTTGAACATAGTGGTTTATGATGTTAATTGGACCCCAAATGTAGTGATGAAAGTGTTTGCATGCTAAAGATACCCTAGAACACAAAATTTTTGTATGTTTGTCTATAGAAATGGGTTTCTGAATTTAGCTAGAGAGTAGAGGGCATCCAAAGAATACCCTGAATGTGTTGGGAGAGGAAATTTATATATAGTCAAATTTTGTTCTTAAAAGATTATCTGTTATAATGGTCAGAATTTGAAAATGTAGATTGGAAATAAAGCACAAATGTTCATGTTTGTATGGATTTGTAAAATAAAACCATAAAGTATATATCAGTTAATACTTTAAGTATTTATATGCATTTTCTTTAATATAGATTTATATAATTTTAAAAACCTTGACGTTAATAGTGTATGCATTTTTACCAGAGTTCATTTTAAACATGTTTGTTTAGGTTTTACTGCAATCACAGCAACCAACCCCATTTGGCTTGTAAAGACTCGGTTACAGCTTGATGCAAGGTATGTGATTTTATTAAAACAAAATTATTAAACTTGGTTTGAACTAATTTTTTTTCTATAAATTTATATTGGTATAAGTTCAGTGTCTCCTTTTTTACTGCTGTATTATTTTGTTTTGTTTTAGAACCTTGGGTCTACTGTCAGAAGCAAAAGTGATACAGTAGTTGGCAGTATGAGACTTTCAGGGAAGAAAGTGTATTATGTGTTGTGTTTTTAAGTAAAAGGAGAAGAAAGAAGGATATATTAACCTAGCCCAAGTAGTAATATTTTCTCTATATGGGTGATTATAATCGGCCTCTCAACAGCTAAATAACCCACATGATCAACTAGTCTAGACTAAATCTTTGAGGATCATTGCTCAAATTCAGTAACCTAATACGCAGAAAGTCCTGGCATGGGATTTTGCGTTCCTTTATTTATAGACTTCATCTGTTACCACTGACAACTTTATGATACCAAGATTCATTCATTCGATAAATCTATATTGAGCAGGCACTGATAGATTCTAGAGATATACCAGAAAGAGTGGTGACCAACTTCGATGGAATAGTCAAGGAATGGTCTTTTTGAGCCCATTTTAAGCAGAGGCAACAATCCATGCAAACCATGCAGGTTTGAAGTTGAAGTCCTAGAGTCTTGCCATTCCAGCTCCTGTTGGCCTTTAGGACAGAGGATGGGGGAAAGCTAATACTGTTAAGTAGAGAGATTATCCCACCTGGTGTATAATAATAATAATAATAATAATGTTAATGTTAATAGTTTTAAAACTGATTTAGCCTTTCAGCCTAGAGTAGACTATGCATAACAAATTTCCATTGTTATTTTATATTTTAGGGCTTGGGAAGTAGTGTTAGATCTTGTAGACTCTAAATAAAACTGATCTAAGAAATTATTAACAGTTACGCCTGATTAAATATCTGTTTTCTAAGTTCTGTCATGCTGAACTGTATAATGTTTGGAGACTTGAAAAGAAATGTCTAATTCTTTCATTTGGAACAATTTTTAATGAAATCTTAAGTGTTGTAGAAAACAGAAAGTTTATTTCTTTTTTTTTTGTTTTGTTTTGTTTTGTTTTTATCCTCACCCGAGGATATTTTTCCATTTTTTGTACAGATAGAGTGGGAGGGAGAGAGAGAGAGAGAAAAACATCGACGTGAAGGGACACATCGAGTGGCTGCCACCCGCACGACCAACCAGGGCTGGGGACAAACTGCAACCGAAGTACGTGCCCTAAGCGGGAACCGAACCCGGGTCTCTCCGGACCGCAGGCCGACGCTCTAACCGCTGAGCCAAACTGGCCAGGGCCAGAAAGTTTATTTCTTAAAGCCAAAAATCTGAAAGGTAATAACGGTGGGTAAGACAAACCAAAGGTTACGGAAAGTGTGAGATGCCAGTCTATTTTATACTATTTTAAACTACTGCTGATATTTTTCAGTATGTCATAGGGTGGATTTGTAGAGGATCCAGGAAACAACATGGCTTAAAATTCTTTAATGTTATTCTTTCACTTAACAGTGGATCTTAGACTTGGGAGTGGGTAATGGGACAGGGTTGGGGTAATCATGAAACATTGATTTAAAGATGCTTATTTATAAGGATGTAGTGAAGAACAGAGCTGAGATGTGGTTGTTTGCTTGTTACCCTTTGGGACTCTTTTAACTTTGTAAGGAAGAATCTGATGGCAGAAACTCATTCTAGTTGGTTGCATGGATTATTCAACTAAAAAGTACTTATTTAGTGTCATTAGTTGAAGACAGGCCTTAGTTCATAAAATTGGAGAAATCTGTAGGTTATCGGATAGGTATCTTAGTTGTGGTTTTATTTCATGTCAGAAATAGGTTGTAAATCATTTATAAATAGGTAAATCTTTCATTTTCTTCCCTGTGGGTAGCATTTAAACCCATTACTTATAGATGAGATTCTGTTGGGGAAATCATCATGTAAGGTTATAAATATTTTTATAAACTCAAAATTACATACTTACAAGAAAAGGGTACAGAATCTGAAGCAGCAACACTGAGAACATTTTCTTGGGCCCAGTATTCAGTAAATACTTGATAACTGTAGAGGTCCTCATTCACTACTCACTAGGATATTGAAATGAAAAATATGGCCATGGCCCTCAAAGGATCATAGTAAATTTGTCTAATTCACCCAGTCACTTTTTGGGAAGAGAACTGGATGGGGTTGGAAGAATCCCTCAAGTGCACAAAAATTAGATTAATTATGTTCCCTGCTTTTGTGATGTACTGTCATCAGTGGTGTCTCAGCCATTCTTTTTATGTTATTAAATGCAAAAGAAATCTTAACTTAGAACTGGATTTAAAATGATGGTAATGATTTTTGTTCATTTTGTTTTTATCTTGAGCTACAGTCACAGTGTATTTGGACCAAAGGATTTTGTTACTTACCCTACAATACAAACTTCAGTGAGGACATGAAACTGAAGATTCAGTACAGTGTATTTCTCACTCTGTAAAATAAACTACTTACATGCTACCCATCTTAATGTGACACATGTGAGATAAAAAAATACGAAATTTTATTTTATTTTTTTTTTGTTTTTTTTTTTATCCTCACCCGAGGATATTTTTCCATTTTTTGTACAGATAGAGTGGGAGGGAGAGAGAGGAAGGGAGAGAGAGAGAAACATCGACGTGAAGGGACACATCGAGTGGCTGCCACCCGCACGACCAACCAGGGCCGGGGACAAACTGCAACCGAAGTACGTGCCCTTAGCGGGAACCGAACCCGGGTCTCTCCGGACCGCAGGCCGACGCTCTAACCGCTGAGCCAAACTGGCCAGGGCAAAAATACGAAATTTTAAACGAATGTTTCAAAATTCTGATTTTACTTCTTCATGAGTTAAAGGGATTCATTCTTTATATTAGAGTGGCGTATTTCTACAGTATTTTATTTGTAAACCTGTACTACTTTATTTACATTATAATGATTTTTTTCTTTTTCTTTTCAGAAACCGTGGAGAAAAGCAAATGGGTGCTTTCGAATGTGTTCGTAAAGTGTATCAGACAGATGGACTTAGAGGATTTTATAGGGGCATGTCTGCTTCATATGCTGGCATATCAGAGACTGTTATCCACTTTGTTATTTATGAAAGTATTAAGCAAAAACTACTGGAATATAAGATTGCTTCTACGATGGAAAATGATGATGAGTCTGTAAAAGAAGCATCCGATTTTGTGGGAATGATGCTGGCTGCTGCCACCTCAAAAACTTGTGCCACAAGCATAGCATATCCACACGGTAAGTAAGAGAAGTTGAGTTTCTAGATGTGATATTTTGTTAATTCAGAAATGCTCTCCCACCCTAGCCAATAGCCCACTTATTAGAGCATTTAGAATTTCACTGAATTTCAGTATAACAAAATACAGTTCTTAGTTCATCATATGGGATTAAGTTTATATAAGTAATGTAAAGCAATTTTAATATATCAGTATATGCTGCAGTAGCATGGTGGTGATTTAGCATGAGCTCTGGACAGATCTTAACCCAGAGACAGTCAGATTCCAGCCAGATCATTTTAAGCAAGTTTCTTTTTTAAGTTTGGGTGTAGGTGCTATATGTACTTTATACATGCTAGAAATACATTATTGCTAATCTACATAAAAATCCTTCCAAGTCTAGGTATGCTAGACTATAACCATAACTCTTCATTTTCAAGAGGGAAATAAGAAATGTGAAGAATAAGTAACTTACTCAAGGTCACACAGTATACTCAGTGATGGAGCCCATTTGAATTTAAAGTCTATATTCCCAAACATCAAGCTATTTTGCATTATTTCATGTTGGCAAATAAGTATGTATGAATAATTTCTTTTATTTCTGTGTAAGTTTTATAATGTTAGCTCGTTTCATAAATAGCTAAAGAAATAACTTAACAGTTGGTCTGCAACATGCTGAGTTTTTCTGGTAACTTTTTGTTTCAAGTGTAGCCTTTGATTTCGATGTGTTTGAGGTTTGTTTTGATTCAGATTTTTAATCTGTAAGTGCTTCACTTTTATTTTTTTAGCAGCCAAACTGGTTTTTGGTGGGGTTTTTTGTTTTGTTTTGTTTTTTGTTACCGTTTTGTTTAGGGGTTATTTTTATTGCTTTTTAGAGAGAGAGAGAAAAACATTGATTTATTCCATTTATTTATTTGTTCCATTTATTTATGCATTCACTGGTTGATTCTTGTATGTGCCTTGACGGGAGATCGAACCTGCAGCCTTGGTGTATGGGGACGACAATCTAACCAGCTGAGCTACCTGGCCAGAGCTAAGTACTTCAGTTTTGTCACACTGACCAGCATTTACATTCACCCCATAAAGCTCAGGTTCTGTGGTTAAAGCCGAATCAGGAAAAATGAACAAGTCTAGGAAATGAGTGTTTGCTTTAAAATGTAATTTATGAATAAAACAAACTCTAACCAAATTGGACTATGAATTTAGCTCAGTTTCCGGAGGGTTGTCCTGACTTCTTTAAGAGAAGTCACGAGGACAGTGTCAGCAGCATTGTTTGCTTCAGGGCTCCTGGGGGAGGACTAGCATGGTGACCTGCCAAGGTGAGAGAGTTTGGGAGTTCTGTTTCTTCATGTGACATGAAGTCATCATGAGAAGAGGGACCTTTTATCATCAATATCTTGGAGTGGAATGTATAAATGGCATAAATTTTTAAGGTAGGTCACGAGATTTCAGATGTTAACATTTACAGTGGAAATGTCTTTAGGCCATTTTGCTCGGGCCCATCAAGAATAATGTGTTGAACCCTGGCCGGTTTGGCTCAGTGGTTAGAGTGTCGGCCTGCGGTCCAGAGAGACCTGGGTTCGGTTCCCGCTAAGGGCACGTGCCTTGGTTGCAGTTTGTCCCCAGCCCTGGTTGGGTCCTGTAGGTGGCAGCCACTCGATGTGTCCCTTTCACATCGATATTTCTCTCTCTCTCTCTCTCTCTCTCTCTCTCTCTCTCTCTCTCTCTTTCCCTCCCGCTCTGTCTGAACAAAAAATGGAAAAATGTCCTCTGGTGAGGATAAAAAAAAAAAAGAATAACGTGTTGAGAAAGTTTGACAAATAATAAATGTGGAAGGAACAGACTGTTCTGTAGGAAGCTCTGAATTTTTGTTCAGTCTCTGCTCTCACCTGTGGAAAATCTCTCAGTCCCAATTTCCTCACTTTTTAAAATGAAGAAAAATCAGGCTTACTATAATCTTTAATATCCCTTTCAGCGTGCCCTGGCCAATGTGGCTCGGCTGGTTGAAGTGTTGCACAGAGGGCTCACAGGTTCGATTTCCAATTGGGGCACATAGTCAAGTTGCAGGTTTGATCCCTGGATTCTCTCTGCAGTGATGTTTCTCTCTCTCCTTTCCTCTCCGAAAATCAGTGGAATCATCCTCGGGTGCGGATTTAAAAAACAAAGAAAAGATCCCTTTCAGCTCTAAAATTTTATGATTATTTGCTTAATTGCTTCCCAGATGGGGGCCTTCTACCTGGCAGCTTATGTTTTAAACATTTCAGCCTATCTACATGCAGTTTATGTGGGTACATGCAGGCCATTGTGAACGGATTAGTAATTCTGTGTTCTCATTGTGCTGTTCATTTGTCTGTCTGTTTCATTCTTGATACCACCTCCACTCCCTTTTCCTCTTCTTCACCTTTTCCTTATCATGTTTGTTCAACCTTTAATCTATATCTAGTATACACCTGCTCCTTTTATTCCATTCTGTCTTTCACTATTCAGGAACCCATGAAATTTTATAAGTACACATGATTTTAGCCAGCTCTCTTAGAAGTTTGGTGGTATTATAATGTGACTGGTTTCAATAAGTAACATATTAAAAATTACTTCTTATTTTATCCTAAGTTTACACTTACCGGTAAATGGAATGTGCTCAGTATTTAGAGGTTATAAAGATAGCACGAATGTTTAAATAAAATGCCTTTATTTCTTTCCTTAACAGAAGTTGTAAGAACAAGACTACGTGAAGAGGGAACAAAATACAGATCATTTTTTCAGACACTATCTTTGGTTGTTCAAGAAGAAGGTTATGGGTCTCTTTACCGTGGTCTAACTACTCATCTGGTGAGACAGATTCCCAACACAGCCATTATGATGGCCACCTATGAATTGGTGGTCTACCTCCTCAATGGATAACAACATCAGGCCACCAAAGTATAAAGAGGGAAGACCAAAAGATTACAGTGGACCATGGAGTATTGGAACCAGCGTGGTGGACAGAAGAAAAATGTTTTGGGAACGTGTAACTAAGTGGAAATGGTTGTCGGAATTCAAATAACCATAACCACATTACTTGATCTTTTCAGTAATGTGAGCAAAACCTGGGCTGCCTCCAAGAAAAGGCCTTTAGAAGCACTCCTTCCTCAAAATTGCCATTTTCTCTACCCTGTCCACGGGACTCGGTTGCATTTTGTTTATTTGTGGCGGACAGAGTATAGTGTTTATTCCATGAATACTTTTCCAGTCTTCTAAACAAAGCCATTTCGAATGCTGTACTATTCTATAAACTGTCCAAAGTATCGACAGTCATAAATTTCTAACTTTTGGCTTCTGTGTAATTATAAAAATAACAATAGTGAGATCCTCAGTATCATTTTCACATTAGTCCTTGAGAGGCTTTGGCTCAGTACTTTAAAGTAATTATTTGGCATCAGTTGTCACTGTTTTTGACAACTAATGAAATAGTATCTAAATGTCTTGATATTTTAATCATTAAAATGTTTTGGTTCCCACTGCTAACAGGTGCTTGATGTTTAGCATAATGTGGACACTTAAATTGTTCCTTTACCTATCAAACTCAACTGGTAATAGTTTGGGACAACATGAACCAGTAAAATTGATTTTAAGCAACTTGAGCATGTCCTCATATCTTTTCTAACTTTATGACACATGAATGAATGCAATTGTCTTTCAGCGATTTATTGGTTTTGAATTTCCTAAGCATTTTTTTTAATGGAAAAAATTTACCACTTCCGAGTCTTTCCCAGTTTGCTTTCACATTAAGAATTTGAACCTTTGAATTACTTCCGGAAGATCTGTATAGATTGCATTTATTTTGTAGAGAAAATGGTAATTTTCAGCTTTACCCCTACAAATGTTTGGTTGTTTTTTTGTTTTTTAAAGTCAACATAAATACCTGAGTCCTGCTCTCTGAGCAGGTAAATGATCCTAATTGACCTAGTTTTGTAAATGAACAAACTGCTTTTGCAAAGAAATGTATTCTATCCTAAGTTCTTGAATGGTAAATCAGAAAGACTCAAGTTAATTCAGACTAAGTATGCTAACAGGATAGAGGTTTTACATTGTGCAGTCAAGTTCAGCTGCACCTTTTAATACTTCAAATGTGTTGTATGTATGGCCCTTAGGAAGACGTTGGCTATCATTCAATTAAGAGACTTAGCTTACGGTTGTTGCTGTACTGGTGTAAGAAAACTTCTACAGTTAAACTCCAGTGTGGTACTCATCTCGGTAAATGTAAACTGTACATTTGTGCAATGGCTTTACCTTAAGAATGACTCTTTGTGAATGCACTTTGTGGCCTTGGGGGGGGGGTGTAGTAAGAGAAGAGAATTCCATGTTAAGATTATTTTTTTAAACATTGGTCATGTATTAGGCAGAAACAGTGTTCATAACATTTTTCTGGGCTTTAGGTATGTTGTTTTGGAGATCTTTAATAATAAATGTTTAAGTATTCTATGTATGCTATAGTAACCTAACATAGAAAATTGTAGCATGTCATTGCAAGCTTTCTCTGCTGTCACCAATTAAACACAGTGCCCTCTTAAATTTCCTTCACCTTCTTAACTTCCTTGTAATCAGCAGTAACTGGATGTTTTTGAGGTGCTTTGATTGGAATTTAGAATATTCCAATCTATTTGGAAACCAAAGGCAAATTCAGTTTCATTACCTTTGGGATTATTCATAACTTCTATGGTGAATTTCAGCTTTGACATTTATTATGAAGAACATGCCAAAAGTCACAAAAACAGGGGTTTCTAACTTAAATCTGTAGAGAAAGTCTTCATCTCTAGTGTTTGCCTCTTCAGGTGCCACTCATCCTGCCTAACATAGTGCCATTTGCCTTGTGAAGATTCGTAAATGTTAGTTGTATTGAATGTAGGACAGAGACGCTGCTTTATCATAATGATCTTGGTACCCACAAGTGATTGGGAATGATGTGAAACCAGCGGCTGAGGGGCATCCTATTACTGAGTTACAGCAAATTCATAACAAGTGTCCTTCAAGGATGAACATTTATTCTATTCCTTTTGTATTTAGCAAATAAAACTTACTTTGACCTTTAGTGCATTATATTTAGCTTTTCAAAGTGAGTTTTATGTGTGTACTGGAAGGAAAAGATCTTAGTCTTAGGCTTTGTTTCTTTGTGTGACAACCGGAAAGGAACAATATTATTTTAATTTGTCTTTTCCCCCCCAAAGCACAGTCTGCTGTAGTTTATTTTATGTATGACAGATAATAATTGTTTTAAACCCTAAAAATTATTTATAAAACTTGTCTCTGAAACATTTCTTTGGAGATTTTGTTTTTAATTGATACAAATGTTTTTAAAAAGAAAAGCTCATACTTAAAGCATTGGACTCCTTTTTTAAAACGGTGTTTTGTTTTCATCTATTTTCTGTCAGATAACAGTTTATGTCCAATATGGAGGTAGTCAGCACTCTTCAGATGGGTATGTACGTTTATTGTAGAATCTTCTCAGAAAATTAAACTGAACTTTTTCAGGTTCAAGCCGTAGGTACTGAAAGAGCATACTCTCAGAGCAGCAGAAAGAAGTCTGGTACCGGTGGCTCATAGAAAACAATTCCCTAAATTTCAGAGTCCAGATCAGAGAATTACCAGCCCTGTGACTGGAGTCCCACACAGTGGTTATCAATCCAGGAAAGAACTATCACCAAAGCCTTCTCCTAATTTTTATTACGTATGTAACTTAGTGGAGCCAGCTTTTTGATTTGTATCTTCAAAACCAAGATAGAATATCATTAGATTATGTAATCCAGCCTTTTGTCTCCTAAAACCTAATGCCCGTTGTAGAAAAGCATTAGTATATTAGGGCCAGCAGAGTTTGGGTTGAAAATGGAGTGTTGACTCTTACTGGAGCATAAACATGTCAGTATTTTTAGATTTGTGTTAAATCACTAAAAATACTGATTTGAACTTGAAGGATTTAAATGCTAGAAATCAATCTATCCTTGACTCCCAGCATTGCCCATGCCTGTCTTCTGTTTACATGCTCTTCTGCCCAGGCTGTTGGTATTATAGGCACCCTTTGGGGCTGATAAATATAGTAGTTCAGCTTTTTCTTCCTCTGATGTTGATCATGACTTTAACATTCCTAAGAACAGAGACAGTTCTGAATGACTTAAATTGGAAGGAATTTTAATTGTATGAAAACATTTAATGTGCTAACTTTCTGCCTACCCAGATCTCTTCTCTGCCATGCCCTCACATTTCTCATGACGCGGCGAGCTGCTTTTCATGCCTCCTTTCAGAAACTGGAGATTCTGGTTTCGCTCTCTTTGTGTTAATAAACATTTTGAATGTGTACCCCTGCATATGTGAACAATTGAATCTTGACCTTGCAGTCATAGCTAAATAATCAACTTCAAGAGTTGATATCTTGACCATTTATATGAGGGTTGCTATTGTATTCTGTGTGTAGCTGTAAATTATGTGCATTTACTCTGTGTTTATGTTAACTAGCTGAATTTTATTTGAATTGTTAAAATTTTAAAAATTAAAAGATGCTTATGAAAACATGGTGTTTTAAAATATATATATGTATCTTAATATTTGGTATGGTGAGAATATGATCACACTTTCTTAGGATTATGTGTAGAACAAAAGTGCATTACCATTTTCAAGATGTGTGTTAGGCTCCTAACTGCTAGACCAGTGAAATCTCTGGGAATCAAAAGGTTCAATAATTGAACTCTCTCAGGGTTTAATAAAGAATGTTGGTTCTAACATATTTTCCACAGGTTTATTGATCTTTTAGTACTGTACTTTTTACATAGCAAAACGTGCCATTTGCAAAGAACATCTGAGAAATTGGAGCCAGATTAGATTTGATTAATACCTCCCTAGGTTGTAATTTTTTGTTGTTGTTTTTAATTCAAGTAGCTTTTTTTGTTTGTTTTAGTTATGGCCTTTAGGGAAGTTAAGGATTTTAACAGCAAAAAGTTAGAAACTTGTTAGAATAACCAAATGAATCGATATGTGCTCTGTTGAAATACAAGTGACACAGATATGTTATGTGGTACCTGCCCATTTTACATTCTCCAGGTTTTCCTCACCCAGTTTGTAGGCGAGGAAACCAGGACAGATTTGTCCTGTTCCATTTCTCAGAGTTAACATAATGCTGAAATTGTTTGGCCTTAGCTGACAGTACTCTTTCCTGAAGACTGAAATAGTGGGGAGAGGGAAGATATTGGCAAAGTAATGGTTGAGATTGGTATTTAAGTGTCCCAAATTTAGATTGTGTGTATGTGTGTTCATTACTGAGTATCAGGAGCTGTGAGAGAGGAAGAAGTCAGTGAGTTTATGATTTCTGAAAGTTCAAATGTGGCCTTTTTACAATGAATGAAACAGGCAAACAAGCAGTTTGTAACAGTTAAATGATTTTTTGATGTTTGCATTGCACAGATCACCTAGTTACCTTTATATAGAATCAATCCAGTAATTTAAATTCACATAGTGCTATGTTTATACAATGACTTCATGTGATTTTCCAACAGCCTGTAGATTGGATGAATGGACACGGGATACTGAGAGTGATATTAATCACAACTGGGCTTTTATCACTTGGATTTCTGGATGTTAGTCCTTTATTTATACTAGGTTTTTCATTCTTATGCACTCCAGTTGGGAGTGTAAAGGGATCATGTAACACTTTGGAAAACATTCTGCATTATGTTGTTAGTTGAAGATCCTTATACCGTATAAGCTGGCACTTGTACTCTTGTCTGTGTACCCCAGAGAAATCCTGGCCCGTTCGTTCCAGGAGTCATGCCCAAGAATGTTCATAGCAGCCTGGTTGCAATAGCAAAACACTGAAAACATTCTTCGTGTCCAAGGACAAAAGAACGGAGGAATTCACATCAGCGAAAATGAATGAACCATATGATCCACATGGCTCAGTCTCAGGAACGTCATTTTGAATTTAAAAAGGAAGTCACAGAAGCATATAAAATGTGATTCTGTTCATATAAAGCTGTAAAACCTGCAAAACAATGAAATGTGTTTAGACAATCATGCAAGTATTCAAATAATAAAGCAAGGGAATGATAAATGCAAAATTCTGAATGGAGGTTACCTCTGGCAGCAGAAAGGGCTAGGGCAGGACAGAGAAAAGACAGGAAGCTTTGAAGGAACCAATGCTTTTTCTTCAAGCAGCTGGTGGATCAAAATGATTTAAATTTTTTTCTTTGTACTGTATATATCACTGCTTAACAAATTACCCCAAAACTTAAGAACTTAAAGCAACAAATCACTTATCTCACAGTTTCTGTGTATGAGTCCATCTCAGCGACTCAGAGAGGCTGCACGTTGTTAGCTGGGGCTGCCATCAACTCCAGGCTGCACTGTAGAAGGAGCTTCCTCCAGCTGGCTCACGTAGATGTCAGCGGGGTTCAGTGGCTCACCAGTTGTTGGACTGAGGGCCTCAGATCCTTGATAGTTCTTGGCCAAAGGCTGCCCTCAGTTCCTTCCCATTGGGCCTCACCACAGGGCAGCCCACAGCATGGCAGATGGCTTCATCAGGGTGAGTGGAAGCGAGAGGGGAGCAAGGGGAAGCCAGAGTCTTTCTAAAGGAATCTAGGGAGTGACGGTCCGTTGCCTTTGCCGCATTCTGTTCCTTAGAAGCACATCACAGGTCTAGTCCTTGCTCAAGGTGGGTTGGGGTGGGGGGAATTATAGGAGTGTGAACACCGGGAGGCAGGAATCACTGGCATCCAATGTAGAAGCTGTCTACCACATAGATTTGAAGGTGTGTGTTCTCATTAAAAATCCCTGGGGTGGTTTCCCAGGAACTTCAGGATCAAAATAGTCTCCTTGCTAAGAAACCCACTTCCATAGCTTGGCCTTGTCTGCCCTCCAACTTCCACTGCCCCTCCCATCAGACTGACTGACTTTCTCAAACAGGCTATGTGCCCTCTCTGATCTCCACTTGTTGACTAACACGCATCACCTCCCCGAAAGCCATCTGGGCTCCTGCTCCTGCTCCTCACCTCCCGGCTTGGGTTCCGCTGAGCTCCCAGTAGCTTGGGCCGCATGGGCATTTGCTCTGTGGAACTCTGGGCCCTTGTAGGGCAGGGTGTACCTCCCTGCTTTGCCTCCCAGGACCTGGCCTAGCCTGGCACATGAGGCTCCCCGTGTGGGACAGTGCACAGGGAGTAAGAGGACGGATGAGCAAACACGCAGAGTCACAGAGCCTCGCGACAGGTCAGGTGGGCTTCGAAGCCAAAGCAGTTATGAAAAATGGTCAATTTTCAAAGCTCTTGAATTTTAGATAAGGGATTTTGTACTTGCCTTGCTTAAAATATTCAGCACTATGATGAGGAATTTTGAAAAATTAAAATTTCTATTTTGAAAAATTTTCAAACCCACAAAAAGTGATAAGAATATCACAATTTTCATTTATTGTTCCTTGTTAACATCTTGTTAAATACTCTTCATTTATTGTTAACCTGTTAACATCTGAACACTTGCGTTCTTTTTCTTCCACTGTGTGTGTGTGTGTGTGTGTGTGTGTGTTAGGAAGAATAATGGCCCCCAGAGATGTCTGCATTTTAATCCATGATGCCTATAAATAGAGTATGTTACGTGGCAAGGGGTCCTTAAGGTTGGAGACAAAATTAAGGTGGCAAATCAAGTGACTTGAAGGTAAAGAGGGTATCCTAGATTATCCAGGTAGGTCCGATGTAATTATAAGAGTCCTTATAAATGAGAAAAAGGGAGACAGAGAGGACCAAAGAGGTGGCATTGTGACAAAGACTCAACTGGCCATTGTGGGCTTTGAAGATGGAAGGGTGCCAAGAGCCAGGGGATGCAGGGCACTTCCAGAAGCTGGAAAAGGCAAAGCAAAATGCAGATACTGTTATTTTAGCTCAGTAAATCTCATTTTAAACTTTACTTCCCAAACTGTAAGATAATAAATTTGTGTTATTTAAAGCCACAAAGTCTGTGGTAATTTGTTAAAGCAACCATAGGAAACTAAGGCAGTGTACATATTACGTACATATTCCCATTCAATTTTGTTTTACTTTCGTTTTTTTTTTTTTTTTTTCGGTTAAGAGTAAGTTTTAGAGACCAAGGGCATTCTCTTATTCAACAATAATGCAATTAATCACATTCAAGGAAAGTAACATTTACATAATACTGTAATTTAAAGCACAGTGATATTGCTGATGGTGTCAGTCAAATCCTTTATTAGCAAGAAGAGCCCGTTCAGAGTCACATGTCACATTTAGTTGTTATGTCTCCTTAGTCCCCTTCACTTTGGAGCGAGTTAGCTTTTCACGTTCAAGACACTAATAGTTGTCAAACGACCAATTCTTCCACAAAATGACCTGCAATTTGGTTTTGTCCTATTTTATCCTTACAAGTAGATTGAGGTTATGCCCTTTGGGAAGGAAGACCGCATAAGTGAATTGCGTGGTTGCAGTGTGTTTAAAGAGCTGATCATTCTATTCCTGAAACAACTAGAAAGGATTACCAATGCAACCCAATTCTTAATTTACATGAAAAATAGCGGGGGAAACCCACCCCAATGTTTCTTCCAACCTAAACATGTCCCTAACTGAAAAGGCTTTAGGTGCAGAATTAGATTGACTTCCATAGGAATAAGGCGTCTTTCCCCTTCAGAAGCCCTAGGGGGCCCCCGGCAGCTGCTGCAGGCTTACCACCTCTTCTGTCCCCAGGTTCCGCGTTCCACAGCGGGTCCTCCCCTCTGAGCCCGGGAGCTGGCACCAGAACCTTCAGAACCTGGAAACAGCATTCACCCACAGAAGAGCACCCCCAAAGTTCATCACATGAACATTTTTTAAAAAATCTCGGAGATGCCTAAGGGCCTGATAAATTGCAGGCATTAAAACATGGAGAAAAATTAAAGTCTCATAGTCGTCTGTGATAACAGGGCAAATTAAATGTGATTTGAATGAATATATTCACCATTAGGTACTTGTTCTCTAAGATGCTGTTTGGTTCTCTTGTATATGTGCAAACGTGGGCTGCATATTAGTCACTTTATGACTTAATTGTATAATTTAGCCTAAATGAGATTATGAAGTTGAAGACAGCAGCTGGGTGCTCCCAGATCCTCTACCCACAGGGGAATAGTCTGCAAAACATTGACATTGTATCTTTAACACAATTTGATTCGGATTCTAATTACAGTTGTGATAAACGCCCCCTTTTTATCTCCCTCTTGCCCCTCTCCTTTTGGGGGATGAGATTTCATGCTGACCTGAGTAGGCATGAGAGTAAATGCTTTTCTATGTCACACAGAAAATTGAGGATTTAAAGTAATATTGTGTTTATTGGTGCCATTTTCTTTCAGTTGCTCGAGGGTTCACTTGAAAGCAGTGGTGGGGCAGGACAGAGCCGGTGCCGGCAGCAGGCCTGTGCCAGCCGCTCCCTCCGTCCCCGTCCCTGGGAACGCACTCTCAGCCCGTGGAAGCATGGAGCACATCCATCAGTTCTGTTGTTTACTCATTTATTAATAGT